TTATTTCAGACCAATACATGTCATAACATTGTGTTACTCCTTTGTCCATAATGTTCAACACCTCGGCTTTGAGAATAAAGAACTCAGAAGCCACGATTCAGAATGAGCTGAATTTCGATAATCATAAATTTTTATAAGTCAAAAGCGCAAGTTTAATGGAAAGTAAATAAACAGCTGCCACGCCAGAATTCAATTGTTCTTCTAGTGTATAAATAATATCACAGTTCTTTACAGCTAAATCAGCTACCGTACCTGGTACAACAAACTGCAAGACGCCACATCCCCCCTCTACCTTTGAATAGTTACTTTGTTCAAAATGTTTAAAAGAACATAATATATATGTGAAAGCTGAAGCTGACAGTAATACAAAAATAGAAATTGTTTTGAGAGGAAGATGATGGACAATGGGTAGAAAAACGATCGAATGCTTGTCTTTAACTTGAACTGTAACATCAAATAAGGAAATACAGAATCCAAGTAAAGTAAAGCATTATTGTAGGACTATTGTTAGCTTTTGACCATAGATTTTGGACAAAACTTTACAGAAATCCAAGGCAAAGTTAAAAGCTGAAACAGAATCAGAATTAAGATAGAGACTGAGACTCGAAACAATACAAAGAAAGTGTTGCACACATACACACACACACACACACACACACACACACACACACACATACACACACATGTATATACACATATGTATGGCTCTTTTCGTCTTTGCAGAGGGTCAATTTAGCTTAAGATGGTTGCCTTCATGCAGCTTCTTTCATGGCTAATTCTTCGTATTTTTGAAGCGCAGATGCTGTCACAGTGCTTGCATGTCAGTGACATAGATCGAAGCTCTGTATTTCCGCTGTTTTCCTTTTGTCGTTGGCGCTTCTCCGCCTGGTTATATCTAAGGCGGCTCTCTAGCAGTATAGGTCTTTCCTTTATCATGTTCCTCCATGTTTTCCTGTCTTCGGCTATTTCTTCGTAGATGCTAACATCTATTCCTAGCTTAGATAAGCTGTTTTTGCAGGTGTTTTTGTACCTCAGTTTTGGTCTTCCTCTTGGTCTCTTTTCCTGGGCTAGTTCTCCATTGCTTTGGAATCCGGTTGCCATCCATTCCCTTGACATGGCCCAGCCATCTCAATCGTTTTAAACACAGGGTAGTTGTCATGCTCTGAAGGTTTGCACGTGCCAACACTTCTACATTTGTAACCTTGTCACGCCACGAAATGCCTCAGATCTTGCGGTAGTATCTGAGGTGGAAAATGTCGAAGCGCTTTTCTTGTCTGGTGTACAAGGTCCATGTTTCAGGTCCATAAAGGAGTGTGCTGAGGACACATGCTTCGTAAATCTTGATCTTTGTTTTGATGGTTAATCTTTTGTGTTCCCATGTTCATGTTGTCAGCCTTCTAAAAGTTGTTGCTGCTTTCCCTATCCTGATGTTGATCTCATAATCAAGTGATGTACTAGAGGTGATGGTAGACTCCACGTAACAGAACTTGTCCAATGTCTCAAGTTCCTTGTCGTTCAACTATATATGGCTTTGCTCTACACCTTCTTGGGTAAGGATGCCAGTTTTCTTAATATTGATGACTAAGCTAAAGTCCTTGCATGCTGTTGATAGGCGGTTCATCATTGTTTGTAGGGTTGATTCATTGTGAGCATTTTAGGGTAACAAACGAAAAAGTCACCACTTTGTAACATGCATTAATACTTGATTCTTCTTCTCCTTCTTTTTATTCTTGTTCTGCCCCTTCTCCTCCTCTAATTCCTCCTCCTCCTCCTCCTTCTTCTTCTTCTTCTTCTTCTTCTTCTTCTTCTTCTTCTTCTTCTTCTTCTTCTTCTTCTTCTTCTTCTTCTTCTTCTTCTTCTTCTTC